CCACTATCCAAATTCCCCCAACCTCACTCTGCGTACTTACTCTCACTTCCACCCTAATTCTTCTATGCATTCAGTCGGGGCTCACCAAGCATATACACTTTCTCTCTCTATCTTTTTTATTGGGAGTTAATACATATATCACATCATTCCAGAGTTCAATCATGCACATACACTTTTGACTGGTGCTAAGGCTCAGATGAATGTGGACTTCTTCCACACCTGGTAGTCTGTGCAATGGCAGAGGGAAACCCAGAGACGAATCAAGAGCCTTGTCTAAAATGAGTCCTGAAAGATAAGAAGTTAGTTGGGTGAAGAGGAATTTTTCTTAGTCTTGGCCTTAAAGGCCCACATGCTTCCTCTGGTTTGCTCTACCTGGATTAAAGTGTAGTTTGTTATGTCACTGTTCCGGCTGAGAATGAGACTTATAGGCATAAGGGATAGAGCCTGACTTATGCCCCACCACTGAGCCTCAGTTTCCTCATTTGTAAAATCCAAGTGAGGAATGCTGTCTTGCTCAACTCCTCTCACGGGTTGTTTTAAAATTGTATTTGTAGACTGCTAAAGGCTATGCAGAGGTGAGAGATTGCTACTCTATTCTCCACAACTTGTTTTAGGCTCCCAGGTCCCTAAGACCTAACACAAGACCTGGCACGGTGTCAATGCTTAATAAAGACCTGCTTTATTGATTGACCCTGAATGATGAAGACAAGGAAAACCTCTGCAACAAAAGCTGTCCGGGGCGGTGGAGGGGCAAGGGCGCTGGGACTATCACCTCCCACACTTTGGCATCTTTGATTCTCATTGCCACACTATAAAGTCCATTGTGGTCACTCCTTTCAGCAGATGAAGAAAGAGATTAGACAACTTGCCCAAGGCCACACAGCTGTGGTGGACAGTCTATGTTCAAATCCAGACTGCCTGATTTCCAGGCCTTGTCCCACCGCTCACCTGTACAGAGCAACATGTCCTTCACTGTGAATTACTCAGAAGGAACTTGTGCCCCTGCCTTTGACCCATGTCTTCATCTTAAGCCAAACACATGGTTTAGGCTACTTCACGTTTTTTCCCTGTTTACTTTTTTCCTAGCCAAGCAATAGCCATTCCCCCAACTCCACACTGGAAAGAAGTCAGCTGCAGTCGGGACAGTCCATCTCTATGAGATTCGTTAAGGGAAAGCTACCTGCTGAGGTGCCGGGGTCTCTGAAGCCGACTGGGCATCTCTGACCTGAGGATAATGAGGCAGCAGCCGCCTCCTGCTTCATCTCAAGTCTGCAATTAGCAGATACTTCTGCAGCTTGCCGTTCTCAGGCCAGAAATGGGCCCCGGGAGGGGCTGGCAGCCGGAGGTGGGCTGGCAGGAGCTGGGAGCTCCTTCAAGCTCAGAGGGCTGAGGGATGAGAAACCTCAGGTTTTTCCCTTGAGAACTTAGCCCTCCCTGTGGACAATGGGATAATAGGGAAGGCAGCGGGGAGGAGCACAGGAAGTCCTTTGCGGGAGAAGGGGCTAAGGGCTGAAGAGCAGACGGGTGAAGCAAGATGAAAGAGGAGTGGAAGAAACTGTCAGTATAAAAGGCAACTATTGTACAGCAAGTTATCCGTCATCTCACTCAGTCTGCCCATGGCTCTCAGCAGGAAGACACTGTTTTTACTCCTATTTGGCAAACGAAAATTTGAGACTCAGAGAGGCTAAGTGATTCAGAAAGGCAAAATGACTTGCCCAGACACTGTGGTAGTTAGATACAAAGCCAAGGAGGCCGAAGAGACTTATAAAAGAGGAGGAGGAGGCAAAGCCCACATGGAAGAAGCACACCGGCCTGTGCAATCACGAGGTGTCGAAGGGATCAGGTATCAGGCATCACCAGAACAAAAAATCTTACCATAGCAAATGAGGGGGGGAGTGCGGAGTGGAGACCCAAAGCCCATTTGTAGGCCACTGGAGATCCCCTTGCAGAGAGGTCTCGGGGAGGAGACGAGCCAGACAGGGTGCGATGTAGCAATGATGAAAAATACAACTTTCCTCTAGTGCCTCCGCCCCCCGCTATCATGATCCCAATTCTACCTTGCAAGTCTAGCTAGACCAGAGGATGTACACTGGTACAGATAGGAACTGGAAACACAGGAAATCCGGGCAGATGAGCCCTTTAGGACCAGTGGTGTGAGTGGTGATACTGGGAGAGTAGAGGGAGGGTGGGTTGGAAAGAGGGAACTGATTACAAGGATCTACATGTGACCTCTTCCCTGGGGGATGGACAACAGAAAAGTGGGAGAAGGGAGATGTCGGACAGGGCAAAATATGACAAAATAATAATTTATAAATTATCAAGGGCTCATGAGGGAGGGAGGGGAAAAAAAGAGGACCTGATGCCAGGGGCTTAGTGGAGAGCAAATGTTTTGAGAATGATGAGGGCAATGAATGTACAAATATGCTTTACACAATTGATGTATGTATGGATGGTGATAAGAGTTGTATGAGCCCCTAATAAAACTATTTTAAAAAGTAAATAAAATAAATAAATAAATTTCATTATCAAAGAAAAAAGGAGGAGGAGGAAGAAAGGTCTGGCCATAAAACAATGTGAAGGGCAAGGGAGAAAGAGGAAGAAAGGGGACGCAGCCAGACCTGAGCCGACACCCAACTCCCACTAATTGGCCATGCGACTTTATGTCAGGCACTTAATCACTTGGAGTCTTCATTTCCTCATTTATAAATTGGAGCAAATACTATTTACCAGACAGTTGATTGTGAGTAAGATGACATTTGTGGAGAAGTTCCTGAAGTTTCTAGCACAGTGTCTGGCATATAAATCCACCACCGCCAGTGGGGTGATTCCAACTCGTCATGACCCTGCAGGGCAGAGTAGAACTGCCACTCTGGGTTTTTATTGTGAATCTTTGTGGGAGCAGACAGCCACATCTTTCTCCTGAGAGGAGGCAGGTGGGTTCAAACTACTGACTTTGCAGTTAGCTCTCCAACATGTAACTCACTTTGTCACCTGTCCACCTCCTGTCTGGCATGGACCCCAAAAATCAAACCAACTGCCATTGCGTTGGTTCCGACTCATAGAGATCCTACATGTGGTTTCCAAGGCTGTACATCTTCACGGGGGCAGATAGCCGCGCACCCCACCCCCATTCTCTCAGGCAGCCAATGGGAATGAACCACCCGCCTTGTGGTTAGGAGTTCAACGCTTACCCGACAGTGCTGCTAGGGCTTAATACATATTAGGGATCCCACGGAGAACACGTGAGGGCAACGTAAAGGGAAAAGAGGGAGCTAAATGAACCCCCGACACCTCCCACCCCCCAAAATAAGACTTTTGAGAAGAAATAAAGGAACGGTTTGGAAGTTCGGGAAAAGAGAAAGGCTGAGGAGGGAGTGGTGGAGGGAGCAGCTAGTACTTCTAAGGGCTGCCACCATCTGGCTAAGAATCCTCAGGTGGGAAGCAATCGAGTTGTGTTCTGTGATGGAAATTGTCTTTCAGTCTCAAAGTGCAATATAGACAAGGGACTCTTACATCTAAGGAGCCATTTTCCTTAGGCCCTTCAAACTTGGAAACTCATTCGGACAGCTCTCTCCTGTCTGATAGCGGCCCTAATGAGTTAGCATTGACTTGATGGCAGTGGATTTGGTTTGGTTTGTGGAATAGGTGGGGGCCTGGCAGGGGGATGGGATAGAGGATAATCTCAGTAGAATTCAGGGAGGAAGAAATGTACTGAGAGGAGATAAGCCACTGTGTCTGTGCTCTCACAAAGGCTGGCTTATCTTTCTTTTGAGATACCTCTGAGTGGGCTGGGAAGAGCAGATAAAATTTCACCTCCTTCCTGTGCCCCACCCCCACCCCCCACAGACTATATCTGGCCAGGCTGAGCTGGGTGAGTGGCAGGGGAGAAGAGGAGAATCCCTGCTTGTCTAAACGCCCCTCGTGTGGCTTCTCATACCAGTGCCTCTATTTGTCTTGGGCTACCAGCTTACTTGTCTAAGCTGCAATACTTGGTGGAGAGGGTCCCAATGGACATTGCTTTCCCCAGGAGTGACAGGCAGGACTGAATGTGATAAAGGCTTTGGAAACTGTGAAGGAATGTGTACCACTCCTTACATATTCACTCTTTCAGCAAGTATCTCTATGTCATATTTTATATATGCCATGCCATCTAGTTTCATCCTTGACGTAACTCTCTTGAGGTGGGAAAGATTATCCATATTTGTAAACCATGCAGTTGACTTTAAAAAAAATGATTTTATTAGAGGCTCATACAACTCTGAATCACAATCCATACATACATCAATTGTGTAAAGCACATTTGTACATTCATTCCCTCATCATTCTCAAAACAGTTGACTTTCAGAGTAATTACCTCTAATCTTCCTTACTTGCCTAGGGTTACACAGCAGGTTAGTTATAGAGCCAGGATCTGTCTGATTCTACAATTAGTACTAGTGAGCCCTGCCTGGTACCATCCCCGGGAAGTGCAATCCTCTGTCCAGGGAATTAGGCCTCCTTGCTTCATTCAAAATCAAAACCAAACCAGTTGCTGGGGAGTCGATTTCAACTCATGGCGGCCCAACATGTGTCAGAATAGAACTGTGCTCCTGAGAGTTTTCAACAGCTGTTCTGAAGTGGACTGCCAAGCCTTTCTTCTGAGGTGCCTCTGGGTGAACTTGAACTTCTTCCAACCTTTTAGTCAGCAGCCAAGTGATTAACCATGTACGAACCACTATGAACTCCTGTAAGAGCATAAACCAAAAACTCACTTCCATCCAGTCGATTCTGACTCTTAAGGACTCCATAGGACAGGATAGAGCTGCCCCTGTGGGTTGCCAAGACTATTAGCACTTTACGGGAACAGAAAGCCTAGTCTTTCTCCCACAGAACAGCTGGTGGTTTCAAACAACTGGCCAGAGCATACGTGGTATTAATCCAGAGTGTTGGGGACCAGGACATGAAGAGCTTCCAGCTCAAGGGAAGGGAAAAGTCTTCATCTGTATCTCTTCTCTCTTCAGGGTTTGACTTCTTTGAAGCCAGCGCCAAGGAGAACATCAGCGTGAGGCAGGCCTTTGAGCGCCTGGTGGGTGCCATTTGCGACAAGATGTCTGATTCGCTGGATACAGACCCCTCGGTGCTGGGCGCCTCCAAGAACACCCGTCTTTCTGACACCCCACCACTGCTACAGCAGAACTGCTCATGCTAGGCGAGGTCTACCCTCCTGACCCCCTTCGTTGTGGCCCCATAACCTCTCTGCTTCTCCCCCGTTATACTCTGTCCACTCCCAGCCCCAAGCAAGCTGAGCTGTTGCTACTGTTGTCTGCCTGCAGTGAGGTAAAAGCCAGCCCCTGCAGTGCTCTGCAGATGGGTCCACTTAAAAGACACTCAGCACCAAGGGGACAGCACAGGCCACGACTAGGGTGGAGAGTCACTTTCCATTAGATGTCTCTGTTTTACCAAAGGGAATCACCGCAGCAGATTGTTCACAAGCCAGTCTCTTTTCTGTCTATCAATTAAGATTTCCTTCATTTGCCAAAATTTCACACACACACTTTTCCAAAACTGGCCAATTGTAAAGTGAAGCCCATCTCCAACAGCCAATCATATTAACGAGAGTGCTTGTTTCATGTCAGGCTCCCTGGGGAGCTTCCTCTCACCACAGTTCAAGCTTTGGCTCTCCACACCTTATGCCTGTTACCAGGGATGTCCACCGGGCTTGGGTGGTTGCTGTGGTGACAGGCCAGTGCTTATCTCCAGAGAGCCCAGACTCTCTAATGATGCTGAAGGAGCAAAGGCTTAGTCAGATCCACACTTAAAAGAAAGAGATTATCCTCTGCCAAATGTCAAAGGTTCCTGCTATGTGAAAGAGCAAGCCAGTGAGCTCAACAAAAAAAAAAGATAGAAAATGAGACATACAGGCAAGATAAAGAAACCGGTCAGGAATTTCTGACTTTGCGCCTTTCCAGCTGGCCCATAACTACGGGAAACTGAAATTGTTTCTTAGGCACCCAGCAATGCCAACCTTTGTGTCTGATGAGTTGTCATCCGGCATCTGAACGAAATCTCTATCTTCGGGTCCCGAGGGGAGCTCATTGCCTGCACCACTTGGAGGGCAGCTCTCATAATCCAAGTGTTTTCCTTGTTTTAAGCTGATACCCGCCTCCTGGAAACTCTTTTCCCTTTGCCCACCCCGCTTGTGTCAGTTCTTCTGAGACCTCACAGGCTCTACCCCCTCTGCCCAGTGACATGCTTAAAGGTTCTGTGAACAGATGCCTGGCCTTTCTCTCGATTAAACAGCACTAATTCCATCTGCTACTATTTATCCACGGAGTTTTCTTTCCATCCTGTCCCTTTCCGCCAACGTATTGTGGTCACGTTAGTGGTCCCACGGGATAAATGTGACTCAAAGTAGGATGATTTAAGGGGATATGGCTCTCAACAAATATGGAACTAGAGGTCCTAATCCAAATTCCCTTGCTGTGGGAGTAAAACCTTGGTTTCTACTAAAGAGCTAGGTGTGAAACCACTTCTGGTTGAAGCCCTTTAATTAAACATCTGAAACCAAACCCACTGCCATCAAGTTGATTCTGGTTCCTAATGAACCTGTATAGCGTTTTTTTTTTACTCTGTACATCTTTACAGTAGCGGACAACCTCATTGTTCTCCTGCAGAGCAGCTGGTGGGTTTGAACCTTGCTGTTCGCAGTCCAGAACTCTGAGACCAGAAACAAAACTGAATGGATTAACTCATTATTTCAGCTTGCTTGATTGTACATAGGTACATGTTTTGTTTTTAGCTGAAATTATGGCATGGAAATGAATAGGGAACCCAGAAAATGTTTTGTCCCGAGCCTGGCTTGAACCTCTAGTGTCTATCTGCATGAAAATGCCACCTCAAAAGTTGCTGTATGTGTGGGTGTGGGTGTCCTCTCCGAACTTTCTTTTTATTTCGCTCATTGTCCCAGGAAAGTGCATTCTAGCCACAGGTCCAAGAACTAAATAAAAAACCCCACCCACAGCCAACCCTGTTGACATCTTACTTTCTTTGGTATGCAGTAGGGGATGGACCTCCGGACACTGCTATTAAACCAAGTGTGACTCTAGACAAGTGACACCTCTCTGAGTCCCCATGTCCCCATTTATAAAATGAGAGGGTTTGTTTAGAATCTAAACTTTAGATGCTCTTCAAAGTTCCTTCCAACACTACCAACTCTGAGTTATTTTACTTTCTGGTCTGTTGATCTGCATAACAAACAGGAGAGATAGGAATCATTGCCTGAATGTGATCTTGGCTGACACTGATGTCATTACCACATGCTAGTACACATCATTTATTAACTCATTTCTCCTGCCAACATCTTTTACTGAGAGGCACTATAATCAACCTCTTTTAAAGATTAGGAAACGAAGTTATCAAGAAGTTCATGTGTAGCTTGCCTAAGGTCACACAATGAATATGGATGGTAGAACTGGGGTTCAAATTCAAGCATTATGCTCCAAAATCTGAGCTTGTAACCATGTGCTATACTGAGATTCAGAGAAGTGACTTGGTCAAGGTCACACAGCTAGAAAGTAACAGAAACATATTGGGATTCAATCCTATAGGCACCAGATTCCAAATTCATCAGAGAAAAGTCTGTCTTTAATCTGTTAACAAATTGTTCAAACTACTCAGATTCGTCTGGAGTGAAGAATGTATGACATTGCAAGAATGGCAAATCAGTAGCTAAGGCAACAAGGTCCCACATGCGGGGTGGGGTGCAGAAACATGCCCAGAGCTTCTCAGGGCCAAGTGTTAGCATTCCCTGCATCTGCCTCTGTTTGATACTTTTCTGACTCCCAGGCAGTTTTATGTGTACTTCAGCAATAAGACATTTGGGAGAAGTAATTTGACTACGTCTCTGACCACAAAATCATGGGATCCTCCACTCTAACTGAGCTTTTTCACACTGTTAAGTCCCATGTAGGATCCAGGATAGTTGCTCTTTTTCTGGGCAGTATAACACACAACCTAACACCCATCTACCCTAGGGCTATGAGTTCAGAATGAGCTCTTCACAACCACTAGATATTTTAGTACCTAAATACAATGATCTTTTCTTTCCAATTGAATATGCAGGCAGGGGTTTCACTTTTATTTTAAAACTGTCAAATTCTTTAAAATTCAAAATCTAATTCAAGGGAGCAAACATCACCCTAGCAGAATCTAGTGTTAAATGCTACAGTGGCGAACTGTTTTATTGGGCGACATACAAGAAGACCTGCATGTAAGGTAGCAATTCTCCATCTCTGTTCTGTGACCTCATTTCTACTGAATGGAAGGCAGCTGCCTCCAGCTGATTGCAGCACAATGTTCATCAGTCACGGTAATAGCGCAATCACCCGCCAAGGTTCAAGCGCCATAATGTGCGTTCGTGGCAACATGTCCTGATTTTCGTCTTGCTAAACCGTCCAAATAAAGGAAGATAAAAAATGGTTCACCTCAAAAGAGGCAAAAAGTAGGCCAAAAGTGCGTTACAATGTTGTAGCTATTTACAGAATCTGTTTTAAATGCACGTGTGCCTGTAAATACAAAGTGATCCATGACTCACAGTATCCTGGGTTCCTCGCATTATTGCCTTCAGGGAGCAGCATTGGGTAGAGTTTACTGAATAGTTGCAGACTCAGTGGATATTAGGTTTGGAAGGAAGTTTAAAGGAAGACCTCGTTCAAGTCAAGGGAAAGGATGGAGACCTCAGCAAGAGGGAAAGGTGAGACCCAGGGAAGGGGAGAAAACGTCACTCTGAAAATCTGTGAGGGATGCGGAAAGGTCCAGAGATAAACTGAGGATCACCTCTAGGAAGAAATGCAGACACCATTAAATACAGGGTAAATAGAAATATGAAACCAGGTACCTCTCAATTTACAAAGTATTACCTCAAGTTGACAAGCAAGAATCTGAGCCTCAGAGAAATGAATATGTCCAAGTCATCCACTAGTATTGTTGGAAACCAACTCTGACGCATGCTCTTTGAATTGCCCTTCTCCAATCATCTCTCGGAAGAAACAGTGGGGGCGGTGATAATGACAGACTCACCAGGATTCTCAGTGTTAATTAAATGACCTCATTTGGGACCTTGGGTTCACAATTGCTTTGTGACTGCAGCCTTGGAGCATGCCACAGATTTCCCACTCAAAGCACCTGCTCTTGCCCCAGAGGTCCTTGTTGGATATCAAATTTCCTGACATGCCTTGAGGATTATTTGTTAGTTTGTTTGGCAATGTCTTCAGGGAAGGGGACAGCTTAGTAAGCAGGAGCCTGGGATCTTATTGATTTCATGTGCACCATCTCAAACTCATACTTGAGAACCTACCAGAGCTGGAAGATCAGAGAGTGGCCTGTGCCTGGGAGATGAGACGTGGCTCATGAGATATGACAATGTGGGCCTGATTGTTTTAAGGTAAAACACAAAATGACAGATTCATTTATTCATTCAACAAATACTGGAGAATCTAATATGTGCCAAGATGAAATTGGTAGCAGATCAGACGTAGTTCTTGCGTTCCTGAAGTTTATAGCCTATAGTCTAGTCTAGTGCATAGGTTCCCAAACTTATTTGGCCTATTGCTTCCTTTTTAGAAAATAATTACTCAGTTCCCCACTGGTAATTAAATTTGTTTGTAAAGTGTAAGTAAATATTTGCTTTCGCAACACACACACCCTGCCCATCTCCCCTTCTTGGATCATTCCAGCGCCCCTCAGGGGACAGTATCGCTTACTTTGGGAAACACTGGTCTAGTCTAAACCCAAAATACCAAACTCACTCCCTCGATTCAATGCTGACTCCTACTGACCCTCTAAGGACAGGAAAGAACTGCCTCCACTGGTTTCTGAGACTGTAACTCCTCATGGGAGTAGAAAATCCTGACCGGCTCTCCTGTAGAGCAGCTGGGGGGTTCAAACTGCTGACCTGTTGATCACAGCCCAACACATAACTACTATGCCACCAAGACTCTTCGATAGGCTAGTCTAGATATTGTCAAATGATTACGCAGATTGATTACAAAATGTGCTGATGGAAAGGTGCATGGTGTCATGTGAACATCGAATAGGAAGACCACACTTTGTGAAGTTGTTTCAGGGGCCCTATGAAGACTCCATGGTCCCCAAATACCTCCACTACTCACTGGCTACTCCTCAATAAGCTTCTTTTAGTTCATACCCTTGATGACTGATTCATACTCAATTTACCAGGAAAAGCAGAGACCAGAGAAAGAACATCTGTATCTGTGAAACATCTTCTGTTTTGTCCTCTGGTTCTTCTGGCTGAGGTGGGGTGGTCTAGGGTGGGTTCATTCACATACTTAGGGGCCCATGGGGAAGACTGGGATGGTTAAGACCTTTCACCACATGGTTTTAACCTCCAGAAGTCAGTCCAGACGTATTCGTGTGCTGACAAAAACTTTTCCAGGAGCAAGAGAGGGCAAACTCCAATGCAGAAGTCATTTTCAAGTTTGTCCTTACATCACAGTTGCTCTTATTCCATATGGCCAACCCCAACTTCAAAGGAGGAAAAATAGATGCCATCTTTTAACAAAAGGAATTACAAACTATTATGGTCATTTTTACCAGCCTACTACAGGCAACAACTCTAAGTCACATAAACCAAGTCTGGTAAATGTTTCTGGGCCTTAAGACATGACTCTGAAGATAACCACAAAGAGAAGGGGCAACATGGTTTTGAGCAAGGCATTCTCATAAGTTGTTGGCTTGTGCAAAGGAGCTCAAAAAAACTCAAACTCACTGCCTTCGAGTCAATGCTGATTCACACTGACCCCCTGTAGATTTACAAGACTGATTATTTACAGTACAAAGCCCAGACTTTCTCCTGAGGAGCTGCTGGTGGTTTGGAACTGCTGTCCATTCGGTTTGCAGCCAGCATATAACCACTACATCACCAGGCTCCTTGGGAAGAGGCTCTACTTAGGAGGAATTATGACACATTTGAACTGACAAGTTTTTATGCTTTTTAAACCATCTATTGAGTTACTTCTTTGTCATCCCTGAGGGATGGGTCTGATTTTTTGTTCCATGAGCTTCCATTACAATAATGATTGTTATTAGTATTCAATATATGCTGAAAAGATGGCTGAATGAATAATTGGCCCGCTGTTCTAGAGATATGCTTGTCTTTAGTTACCTTATCCAGTCCCAAGGTTTTACATGATGAATCTTTGGTAAACACTTATATGCCAAGTGTCTAATAGACATGTTCATGTCTCAAACTTAACATGTCCAAATTGAAACTCTTGATTCTGCCCCAAACTTGCAGAAACCTAGGCATAATGCTTAGTCCCTTAATTTATCTCTTTTCTTACTCCCCATATCTAAACCAATATCAAGTCCTTTGGCTCTACTTCTGAAATATATTCAAATCTGCCCATTTTTCTTCATTTCCATAGCCATGTCTGTGGCCCAAACTAGTTGTCTCTTCCCTAG